GGGGAAGGACCACGCTCTCACAGAATACCAGCGTAAAATAGCAGCTTAACGCTGCTGTGTTTCGTATGGTGAGTGTAGAGAACCGGAGACCCTTTTTACTGGAAACGAGGCATTCCATCTTAGTCCTCACGGGTGACAACGCATCTGCATTTTGACTCTTAATCGAAGATAGATGTAGATGTCTATGGGCCACAGCGACCACTTACCATCAGGTGGACTGTGTGCTCGTTTGTCAGCCTTATCCTATAAAAAAAAAATATAACTTAAGCAGGGTCCTTTAAGGGTTTTCATTCTTCTAATTCTCATCGTAAAATTTAAGTTAATACAAATATTTGACTCGACGAATTACAGATAATTTTAAAATTCGTCGAGTAAAAATGAAATAAAAATAAAAATGTATCTATAGTTGTCCTTGCCCGTAGTTCTGTTATCACTTATTAGCGTGTCGTCGTTCTCTACTCGTATCTATTAAATTCCACTGCTGAACAAACGTCTCCCCCAAAGATTGCCTCATAACTTGGATATTTACCATAGTTGCCAGTTTGGCCGTCGGGTTGGCAAATACAGTATTGATTTATAATAATGAATAGAATTAGGCGTTACTTTGCAGATATCCATTAAATCAAAAATGTTAAAGTATTAAAAAGTTCAAGTTAAAGAGAAAAAAATACGTTAAGCTTAGCTGATTAATTTTTATCATCTTCAGCAGTTCTGATTATATTGAGTTGTTTTCAAGAAATGCTGCACCCATCTTCTGTTGCAGTTTCCATTCTCTCGTGATATCCACGGGATGATATAGCGCAGTGTATTTTATTACCCCACTACTACACGACATTCAAAACACACTACATTCAAGCACTTTGAACCTAGTTCTAACACTAAGCTGTTATGATAGTGTTTTTTTTTTATAGTATAGGGTGACAAACAAGCACATAGTCCACCTGATGGTAAGTGGTTACTGTGATCCATAGACATCTTAATCTATCCTCAATAAAGACTCAAGACGCAGATGCGTTGTCACCCGTGAGGACTAAGATGGAATGCCTCCTTGCCAGTAAAAAGGGTCTCCGTTTCTGTATACTCACCATACGAAACACAGCAGCGCTAAGCTGCTATTTCACGCTGGTTTTCTGTGAGAGCGTGGTACTTCCCCGGTCGAGCCGACCAATTCGTGCTACAACTATAAACAATATATTAGTAGAATATAGCTGCAGCATGGCTCTACCACGTAGAATGTATAGCTAAAATAGTGTAGCTAAATTCCATCCATTCTCAATAATCATCAACATGCAAATGTATTTAAAAGATATTCCTGAAAAGATAATATTAATATATGTTTATTTTCAATGTTATCCATAAAACACAATACAACTACCGTTTTTTAGAAATTGTCTTTAGTTACATTTATATTGTAATTTTTAAGTTAGTGAAGGCCTGTGCCTAAAACAAGCCGTTTATTTGCGGTGTAAGAATATTACCTACCCATATTGTCTCGTGGATGTCGCAACAGGCTTCAGAGGGAAACAAACTAGGAGATGGGCAACAGCGTCTTCCTAATTTTTTATTTTAAAAAGTTATTATTATTATTATTAGATGTAAAATAACATCTAAAAATAAAAATAAAAACTTGTGGTTGCCAACTCGCCTGCCGAACGCGGCGAGCGTATCCCATATGTTCAGCACTTGACTTGATATAATGTCTGTGGGACCAACTATGGGATGTATATAGTTTTAATTTTTTTTGTTATTACAGGTTTAATTTCATAATGATTTCTTATATGAATGTATGCTATACATTGAATAAAATTAACTTTACGATTTTTTTTGCATTTAATTTGACATAGTTATAATTTACGAAGTTTTTTGGTATTGGTAGTTTTCGCGTGCCAACTAAAAGCACAAGCACCCAAAACGTCAGGAATTTAAAAAAAAATTCAAATTTAACGCGATAAAATCCGTAAATTTTTTTAAATTTTTTTTTAAACCTTACCCCCACACTTGGATTTTCTCCTGTATCGTGGAGGCAGTTTACAAACACAAATTTCACAAGGACAAACATCCAGACCCGGAACAATCATTTGTAGGCCATACAAATACTTGTACCCGTGCGGGATTCGAACCCGCGCCCCCCAGCGCAGCAACTCATTGCTAAGCCACTGCGCCACGGAGCCGTCAATTAGTTTATATCAAGTATATTCTCATAACCTTTCATAAACTTGTGTCTCAGTTTCTCTTGACTTTACGTTATAATGTACCTAATATGCGTAGGAAATGTTAAACGTTCTACTTTAATATTGTGTAATATGTATAAGCCTTTATTCAGAATTCTCTGTCCCCAAATGTAAATTGTTGCCCTACCCAACAATGTTGCAGACACTGCGCCCTCGTAAAAAGTGACCGCTGGTGTAATAAATATATTATTTAAATAATGTTTCTTTTTATTGAGACATGAAATATTTTTCTCTTGTAATAAGTAGATTACTTAAAGTTAAAGTTACAGCCTATTTACACGTCCCACTGCTGGGCACACGTCTCCTCTCATTTCTCAGAGCGTTTTAGGGCAGGAATGGTCCGCCGCGCTGCCCCAAAACGTGTTGGCGAACTTCACATGTATTCGAAATATATATTTTTTTTTCTTATTTGTCAGACATGCAGGTTTCCTCACGATGTTTTCCTTCACCGCCGAGCACTTGGTAAATCAGCACTTGAAATTGCAATTAACAATTTCATTGGTGCCGGCGGGGATCGAACCCGGGTTTCTCGCGTACTGTGAAACTTACAGCGAGCGCTAACCATCTGAGCTACCACGGCTCCTTACATTACTTTATTTTAATAAAATAATTATTTAAATATTTATGCACTTAGATACAAAAAAAATTAACAACAGTTATCATAGATTTACAACATTTTAATAGCTCCCAACTTGCCGTATTATTACAGTAGGTACCTCCTATCCTTTAATTATTCACATTCTTGTTCCTGTTAATAATTGTGGCTTTCTGTTGTTTGTGGAATTCATATATAAAATTACTGCCTCTATGGAGTTACTAAATATTTTAATTTTACTAAGTAAGTTACGAAAAACCTTATCTTTAATTGGTTTGGCCAGTGATATGTAGACAATTATGTTTTTATTTTTTATTTTAAATAGTATAATGACAAAACATAAACATCTACAAGCCTATTTACGTATACTTCGATTAGCTAAGTGATGAAATTTATATTTAGCATATTTTTACCAAGATGTTACATATTTGTCTATAAAATTCTGTCTGTTACTCTGTTTTTGTTTCCTAAATACACATAGTAAAAATAAACATTGAATTAAATATATTATTGCATATAAGCGAAATGTATGAAGATGGATATTCGTTTAAAGTAAGTAAAGTTTGTGGTTTTAATAAGCAACATTACTTATATTTCTTAGTAAATACTTTAAAAAAACACCGTTTTTTATCTAATTTTATCACATTTATACTAAATAATAATAATAATATCTATCCTCACGACCGAATTTCGGTCACGACGGCAAGTCCTAACGGAGACTATAGTCATCGGCGCAGGACACAATTATTGTATTTTTTCCGAGGCACGGGAGTTAATCACCTTCAACTTCCTGACTCCTGAATTTCTTGACAGAAAAGCTTAATAACTGTTCTTTATGGCCCGACCCGCGATTCGAACCTGGGTTCTCATAATCAGCAATTGTGTTTACAACCACTAGACCGACGAGGCAGTCATAGCCTAAATCATAACGGCCTTGTAAATAATTCTTAGGTCAACCTAAAAATACAAATACAATATTTCAATAGATACTTAAATACTTTAAATAATAAATAGTATGTATTTTGTTTCTTAATATTAGGATTAGTATTACAATAAATTTGTCATAATGTGGGTGTCGAAATAGGCGACAAAGGGCAGCTCAAAGAGCTACGCACTATGAGATACATTTTCACACTAACTTTACGCAATATTAATATTTAAAATTATTAATCTGTCATTTATTGGGATTGAGATGCGTGTGTTATCTTGGCTATGTTAAGCAGTGGACTTTTATAGGCTGTGCGAATAATGAATGAAATAATAATCTCTTTATTTTACAAAAAAAAAATCAGTTTCCAAATCCCGAACTCATTGAATAAGCATTGTACTAAAAAAGACAAACAGTACGCAATTGTCACGTTTTACGCATATATTATCATCTATTAAGCTCGGCCCATTTGGTTTTACACACTTTCTAACATTATTTAGTCTTTACTCGTACATTGAAAAGGACTTTAGCAAACTTATGAAATTCATTAGTATTTATAAACATATTTATTTAATAAATATGTTTTGTGTTTTTCTTTTTATTTCAATTTACTTGTTAGGTTCATAATATATTTATGAAATGGTTATTAAGAAAGAAAAAAATGTAGCTTTGGTTAGTAAACTTTTAATACTTAATTTTTAAAGTACAAGGACGTACAATTTATAATCAATATTTATTAAAAAATGAATAATTATCAATTTCCATCACTTTATTTGCTGTGTAGACGCTGCGTAAGAGAATCCACTACCCCATATCTTCCCGTGATGTCATAAGACACGACAGAAATAAATTGAAACAGAAGATAAGTAGAATCTTCCTGATCACAGCTCAGCATTATTGAAAAAACTGCGGTCGCCACCCTGCCTGCCAACAATGGCAACTGTGGCAAGTATCCCTCGTATGAGGTATTATATGAGGGATCTCTATTTTCAGCAGTGGACTTTAAGCTGTTATGATATTAAGTATATTATTTGTTCAGTATGAGAAGTTTTTTCAAAGTGAAAATTATACATCTAAATATAAATTACTATGTAAGAGAAAAGAATTTAAATTAAAGTCCCAAATATGTGTAATACCACAGCTTTTAATACCATAGCCCTAAAGTTTACAAACCGCTGAATCGGGCAAACATAACTGTGGCTCTTTTGACTCTCAGTTTGACCCTTATAAACACTATAAAACTTACCGTTGAAACAGGTGAACAGCCACAACAAAGTTGTGCACAGATGCGTGAAAGAAGCACGCCTGGCTTCCCGCCGCCGCACCATCTCACCAGAATCATCGAACTTCACTGAACCAATATAACACCCCCGAGACAACACTCAATATAAACGAGCTACGGAACTCAACCCTCGGGCTATTTCGAATGACGTAACAAAAAGTTCTGGTAGGTTATGCGGAAGCAAGACACGTCCGTCCGCTACGCAGAGTCCGGTAGAACTAAAGCTAAAGCTCGGGACAGGGTAAAAGCCTCCCAGAGTAGGGCGGGGAGGGTTGAATGTTTTGGGTCTTCACACAGCCATTTCCCTCCAAGTGCGAGGACCACGTGCCGTGTTCATTCAATTTTGCGTCTCAATGGCTGATAGAGATATTTGTATTTTTATTGTCGTTGTTTAATCGTACGTCGTTAGTTGCTTTACTTTGATGTTAATTACCTTTTCCAGCTAATAGAGTGTCTATGATTGAAGCATTATAAACGAACAAGATTGCCTTTTAGTATTTTAAATAGTCTTTTTTCTTAACATGAATTGATAATTTACATTAGTCAGTCATCTTTAGCGATGCTGTGCAAATTTGTTTCACTGTTCATTTCACATCATTTCCAAATACTATTACCAAATTAAGTGTACCCACCTGACAGTTCGTCAATATTAAAAAAAAAAGTTATGCATCCCTTGTCGTAGTGTTTGTGTTTATATTATGTTCCACTATATAACAAATGTATCTAATATTGTGTCTATTAATCTCTGTCCATAATTTTGATAATTCTATTTTTGAGAAATAAAGAAAATCTCTGTGAAGAAAAATGTGTTATTAAATGTTAGTGTTATGAAAAAAATATTTTTTTTTTACAAATAACACATTTTTTCTTATAGAAACAGAAACAGAAACAGAAACAGAAACTTTTTTATTCAATATAGATTATAAATAATACTTATTGAAAGTCACTCTTATAATCTATAATAACACATCAGCCATGTATCGAATTAGGTTATAGAATTGTAAAGAATGATTTCTAACAAAACCCTTTCAAAGGATAATAAAATTTATCTAAAAACTATTTGAATAATAAATTAGATCCAAGCGGTTGAGATATTTTTTGTGTGGGCAGCTGAGGCAAAAGATTTTTTTAACGATCTGGGCAGACGACTCAGAGAATGGGGATGTAATCCTCACTCTGGATCTTTTGTTTTGCAAAAAATATTACTAGAAATTCAACGCAGCACTGCTGCTAATTTTATAGCAATCTTGGAGCAGGTATGGAATGTGGTGGGAGTTTTCTTTTCTTTTTTTATAAAACTAAACTGACCAACAAAGCTACAGTTCACCTGATGGTAAGTGGCTACAGTCCATGGACACCTGCGGCCAAATTAAAACAAGGAAGGCTGCAGATATTAGGGCTAAGATAGAATTCTACATAGACTGTAATTATATTGAATCTCTATACCCTTCAGACTGGAACACAACAGTGCAAACACCGTTACTTGACTGCAAAAATAAATAAACTACTCAGTCCGACAGTGTCTTGATTAAGCCTACTTTTAATAAAAATTTGTGCCCTCCTGGTGTCCTATAAATAAATATGAATACATAAATAAATAAATTTTAATGAAGAAATGCCTAGTCTAATAAAGCATGTTGCGTATTGCATTACTGAATTTTTTGACGAAGCTTGTTTTGGCTAAATAAATTTACTTTGTACTAAAATACAAAAATATCAAAGTCGGCGAAGAACAATATTTAGATTTGATTTCATAACGATAACGTACTCAAATACCCGGAGAACTGTAATAAAGTTTTCAGCGATGGCCAAAGTGTTCTGAATTCTTACTAGGCTCTGATATCGAGAATCTCAGCTGAAAGGCATGTGGCGTAAACCCCGTAACAAAGTTTGAGGTTTACTACTCAATTTGCGAACTTTTATGGACATTTGAGACAAACGATTTGTACCTAAAATATTCTGCTATTATATACTCGTATTAGTGTGAGTTATCGAACTTTGTTATTTAGGTATGTTCTCTTCTTCTGTAATCCTATCATATTACTCATGACAAATCTGACATTTCTCCTTTTTCTGGTATCTTACTTATAAACTTATTTATTATTGATCATTTCAGTCTATTTTAGTCAACCTATATGTTGAGCTTTGAATGGTAGCAACCCAAGCAGCATGCAAGCTGTATTCGAGCTGTATTGGAGTTCCTTTTTATACTAGAGGCTGCATTTACTGCCCGTACAAAGGCAGTATAAGCGCTTATACAGCTCTTATAAGTAAAAATAATACAGCTTTATGCGTTATTAGCGCTGTACAGTAGCTGTACAAGCACAAAGGGGGCGTATAATAGCTGTATTATAGCTGTTATTTGGTGTACAAGGAAACTATTACACTACAAATACTATCTTATAAATATCTTTTAAAGATAAAAGTTTTAAATTGGCGTTTGAACGGTATCACAAATGAATTTATGACAAACATAACTTAATAGATTTATTTATGTACTTTATTGAATGATGCCGATATTTAGTGAGTGAAAGATTATATTACATATTAATATTACTTGGATTGGAGTTGAGTTTTCACGGTGATAACTGGTGAATAGAAAGTGCAAAATTAGATTTACAGTAAACTTGAATGTGATATCTATAAAAAAAATTCCGCGCCACCAAAATAACGAAATAATATAAGGACAAAATACAAAATATGGTAAGTAAATATTGATTTTATAGGTTCGAATAAGAAAATAATGAAATTAGTGGATATGAATGCATATTGGGGCACAGTAATCATTAGTCATACTAAAAATAATGGTTTAGGCTAAAACTAATGTCTCATATTCCTAAATTTATAATTTAAATTTTGTTTTTATAAGTCCTAAAATGGCGACAATTTGCTAAACAGCCTTAACGATATTTCGAGGGTCTTATAGTCTTAGTAGCTGTACTATGTATGTTATGGATTCTATCATACAGCCATTAGTTTTTAATCAGCTGTATAATAGAGTATTTTGATTACTAACGATGTATAATAGTTTTTAAAACATCACAAGTAACTGTCTTTAGAGATATGTATAAAAGATGAAAAACCTTTGTCTTAGAAACAACACTTTTATCCCTTCTTCACTTTATCTCATTTAAATAATAATATTTTAAGATGTAACCGTGTTTTAATAAATTTGTTGTTTTGTTTTATGGACAAGGAGAGAAAAGTGCTTACTTCTTTCACTTCTTTTAAGACAGAGACTATATTATAAAGCCACAGAGACAAAGTAAATAAATTGAAAAAATATTTTTAATTTTTGTACCATCCTAAAACCATCGATTTAATCGAAATGATTGTATTTAATGGCAATAAATTACAACCCCTTTGATTCAGTTAAATTCACAAACCAAACCAAAAATATGACTACCTTTAGCAAATAAAGATTATCTATACATCTTTTCTTTCAAATGTTAAAAAGTGGAGTAAAGAATTAAAGCTATCTCCTTCTTTGCCAAACAATAATAAGGAAGGTTCATTTTATGAGAGAATATTTTATCTCGCTTAGCAGTGCGGTACCAGTACGAGCATGCTGTTTATTTTGTTATTGTGTTTAGTTCATAGGTAACCAAAGTAGGTAACTTATGGCTAGCGCATACGCATGTCGTTTTCTATTCATACTCTTACGTCACGTAGGTAGGGCAAAATCAAAAGAGGTAGCTATTTTATTTGATACATAATTTAACTTATTGTGAAGTAATTTGACTGTGTTGTGTATCTTAAACTCATTATATTTTACTTTTTAGGAAAATATGCCGTTTAAAATTTTGGAATCCTTAGAGAAAGGGAAAAACTGCATTTTCATTGTACCAAGTTTGTGGGAATCAAAAGGCGTTTTAAGATGGCCAAAAAAGCGATTAGATGCTAATATATCTAGTTAGTAAAATCTACAATTTGCAATTGTAACAAAATCATTTAAAGCTACTTAAGATATATTTCTTTCTGTGGCACAATTCTTCAATTTTCTGGCAAAATAAATAGATTTTTTGAAAATTCGCTGTTATCATCATTTGAACTACTTGTGCTGCTGCATGATAAATCATCATAATCAAGTGCCGAAAACTAAGTTACATTTGACATGACTGTGATCATGATTAACACTGTTTAATGTTTTTGTTACGGAACCCTCTTTGTTAGCCGTCGATGGGATTGACGCTTGACTGTAGCTTGTCTGATTTATTAAAGTATTTCTATATTCTTCAGTATCACTATTATTTTGTATACAATATAAATGATAATCTATACAAATAAATATTCCCCTTCCCTCCCGGACCGCTCATGAAGTGCTCGTGTATTTTGATCTGTTAATTATTTTATTTTTCGATATAAATTAAAATTAAACCAATAAATCAGTGCAGCGAAAATAAGAGTGCATAAACGAACAAGAAGTTATTTCGCCGAGTCAATAGCCGTAGCAGTGCCTCAAGCACCACCCACTATTCCGTAGAAACGGCCGTTTTGTCGTAGGAAGCCGCGAACTGCGTTACGAGTCGACACTACGTACTCTGCTACGGAACGATCTCTGCTGTGGTTCTGTCGCCCTGGTACCTCTAAAAGACATTGAAAGAGTACCGTACACTCAAAAACTAAAAAGAAAAATATTGTACACGACTCTGCTGAGTTTATGCGTGCCTGGTACATTGACCTCCCAAGCGACTAAAATAGTGCACAAAGTGTTTGTTTGGTTCTCTCTCTCTTCCGAATATTGTGATCTCCAGGTAAATAATCTCAAGTGCCTGCTAAACTTATCTTTCTAAAACTACTAAACATTTTAAATTTAACATTCAGCTCCTACAGTGTTATACGGCCCTAATATTTGTGTCTGGCTAATAAAAAACTGTACAAAAAAGAAGTTGCGGTGCTGTGTACCGAAGCTGTGACTTCCTGCCTGCTTATTAAACCCTAATTAATACAAGTCCCCTAAAGATGCCACTAAAACGAACTCCCCCTCCCCCCACTGCTGCCATTTCTACCTCCAATGCATCACCCTCTCACACCCAATCTGAAACA